CTGCAGTAGGAAGATATTCTTACCTAGACGAAACAGAGTTCAGCAGTGGTTTAAAAGTCACCCAATACCAACTTTTCAGATATAGTTAAGGTAGGCAATAGAACACGTTCACTGTTTGCCAGCAGTCTGATTTTCCAACCACAACAATGTTGTTTAGCCACTCGTCCCCTCCCCATGCACTGTGCAAAACCAGCACCCAGAATGGCAGTGCACTCAGAGAGCATGGAGAGAGAAGCTGCAGATGTTCCCTCAGGTCCAGCTCCATCCTAATGATCTTAGGCTGGGACTACATGAGGCAGAAAAAAAAAAAGCACAGGGCTGCAATGATGCCCTAAGGCAAAAAATATTTGCTCTCACTAGTACTTGTAATTCCTGAATGCTAAATTCATTCAAATCATTGGCAAGGAAATCATTGGTGGGGGGCGGGGGGGGCAAATAATGTGTTTACCAAATGGTATTTGTTTGCATTAAATACAGCATATTGTGAAAAAACCAGCACACGTGGAGATCAGCAATTCCCCTCCAGTTGTCTTAAAATTACAGAAAGTGACCTTAAATAGCAGCTCCTGAAATGCTTTTGTTCTGAAAGCTTTTGGCAAATCAGGAAGGATCAACCTATTTCCCTCCTGACACTTCCCACACCCACTGCTTTTTCAATGGCAAGCTGAGAAGGGGTACACAGACCTAAAAAACAAAATCAGGAAGGATATTTGACAGGGTAGCAAATTCCCACCTAATCAGAGGTTGTGCTCTTCCCTAACAGTGACATTCACCTCTGGAGCAAGGCTTACCAAGTTGAAAGAGAGGCAGCTGCAAAATGGATTACAAGTGAGAGACTGGGCACATTTTACTGATGTCTCTACCAAAGTTGCTGGTGACACAGATGCTCTTGGGAGCACAGGAGACAAAGTAAAATTGATGTGAAAGGCAATATTGTTGTGGGCCCAAAGAGACAAAGAGGGACTATACAGAAATTCAGGGGGAAGATGAAGAAAATGTAGCTAAGCCAAACTCCCCAACATAACAGTTACAATCCAAGAAAAACAGCCAAGACTTTACCAATACATTACTGTTGGCGTGATCTGTGCTGTAGAAAAAGGAAACATTTTCCCAAGTCTGTAAAGCTCATTTTTCCTCAAAATCCAAACAACTTTTAGCAAGCATCCCAAATAGGAAAAATAAGAAAACACTTCTGCCTATTTCACAGTCAAAAATAACCAAGAAATCATTTCATATTTGGTAAATTATACCACAGATATCTCGGCAGTTCAGATTTGTCTTGTCAAGCATTGCCAGCTGCAGATATTTATGCTAAGTATAACTCCTTACTTTAAAGGGGTTTATATTTGTTGCATTTATAAACAATCATAATGATGCTACCAGGCATTGTTATAATTAGGAAACACTAGAGGTCAGTCATCCTTTCTTCTCATCAAGTGCAATTCAATATGATTACAAACAACAGCTGGATGTTAACAGCAAGGCAGGAGGAAAGGGAGTTATTTACATTCTCAAGCACAAGTATGTCACTACAAGACTTGATGGTCAAGCAATCAAATCCCTAACAGGGCCTGTCCTCCACAGTTTGGGATGGAACAGAAACAAGTTCTTTGTGCACTGGGACAACCTAAGCAAATGAAGCAACCAAAGCAAGTGAGAACTACTCAACAATCCACTATGTCTGGCTTAAAAGCTCAAGAGATTTTTACATTGTTTAAAGGCAAAACTGAGAACTTGGCTATCACAAGTGACTTGATCTTACTGCATGCCATGGGAGAGGTGGCTGAGCCAACTCCAATGTATACTGCCTTACCTCATGCAGAGAGCGACTTGGTTGCATACAAAAGAATTTTTGCTGCTTCGTTATGATATTTTAGTCTTCCACTATGCCTCCGAACAAGCTCAGGCCTGCACAACTCATAAAGCACAAGACTGAGACAGAGCAAGATTGCAGACTCTAGGCAGCCGCCTCTGCAGCCAGCAAATGTCCTGCTCTCCCAGCTTCAAGAGATTTCCTCATTTAAGCATCCCCAGAGACAAGGAAGTCCTAATGTAGCTCTGGCACGGTCAGCCAATCCTAAGGAGGATGATGGCTGCTCTTCCCCCACACACATGCTGCTTTTCCCTTTCATTATGCCAGCTTTTTGGGGAATCTAAGGTTTAGTGGCACTGCCCTGATCTTGCTTATCCTATGGAGTTAACATGAAGGACTGCAGTCAAAGTCAGGCAGAGGAAAACTGCAAGAAAACAGAAAGTTTCTTTTCTTCTAATTGGCAGCCCATATATTATACCAATAACTTCACCAGAAGATGATCTTTTCCATCTGATGGTTGTTGCCTGCAGGATTAAATCCTCACAGACTTTGCCTGGCAGAATGAAAAGGAAAAATCATGCCCCAATAAAGTCATTGCAGTAACATGCACTGCATAAGGAGGTTTGTTGTCTTCTTCCAGATTTCCTCCTACAGATCCTTCTATTGGGAAGCAAAGCAGATCAGACTTAAAGTCGTTTTGGTTCAGCCAGGCTGATTTTAGAGACAGGAGCTGTCATTCAGCCCACTACAGGGTCACAGGATCAAAGCCTGGTATTTTCACACAACCAATCCTTCAATCCCAGTGTTAGCTAACTAAGACTGAATGCATCCAACTCCAGACTGGCAGGGCACCAGCAAAGAGAGGCAATCCCCAAGCCATAGGGGGGTACTTTGTGGTGTGTATGGCTGGAGTTTTCTGGGGTTTCTCCCACTTGAAATTACAGACAGAATTCTTCACAGATATGTGTCAGTATGGATCCAATTCTAAAAAAAAAAATTGTTCACTGCATTTACAGATTTACCAGATGCTTCTGGCTGGCTTCCTGCCTTCTCCCTACCTGAAATACCCTGACTGTCTTCTACATTAATAAATTCTCAACACTACTTAGAGTTCCTTCCTGATGAACTGTCCCAAGACCCAGAGTGTATCCACTAAATCAGTCCTCCCTGCCTCCATAAAGCTCCTTGTGTTATGCCAGATGTCACAGAATTCAGCTGGGATAAATACACCCTCAGCCAGCACGGGACCTATGGCTCCCAAGATCTGGCACCTTAATATTACCCCTATGGATTGTAGTGCAATCCCACTGAGAACAAAAGGAGCCTTGCCACCCAATTGCTACAGACTTGGTGTGAGCAGGGATAGATTCCAAAACCACTCAGGAGCCCAAGTAACTCTTAACACAGCTTTTACCAAAGGAAAACTATTTGGTATAACTCTCAAAGCTCATAAGGACTCAGTTTGCAATTGAAGCTAAAGAGAATTTTCCCACTGGAACACAAATGCATGACATTTTTCTTCAACCATGATCAGATCCAGTTTCCAGTGGACCACTGTAGTGAATGGACAGCACCTGAAACAAAATGAAAGACCTGTGGCTTGCAAAAAGAAAATACATTATTTCAGATCCAGAGAACTAGAGAGGAACTTGCTTAGATGATCAACTTCATACTGTTTGAAGATTGGTATCTCTGAGCAAATTGCTCTCTTCTCTGCTTTTATCTCCTTGAATAAAATGTGAATGGTAACAGCACAGCTAAAAAAGTGCTTTATGAAATATTGATGAATATATATATATATTCTGAAATATAGATGAAAAGTAGCATGGGACACAGTGGAGATTGCTAGGGATACTCAGTGACATTGTAACAAAGAAATTGTACTATAGAAGATAGAGGAGCCATACTGCTATCACCAACATTCATTTTTACAGGGAATTCAGCGTGGGAACTGGGCATAACAACAGTGCCAGTCACTTCTAGGAAGCCTGACAGAAACGAATTTGAGCACTAACACTAGCCCCCCACAGTGCCCTTTCTAGACACAAAGGTTACTTCAGGAACAAGTTCTAAGCAAAATAAAAAGAAAACAAAACAATGACCACATGGTGTATTAGTGTATCTTTTAGAAAGGCAGATTCTTCAGCTTCTTTTGCTCTAAAACCAGAATCACTATTTAATGATACTTTGTCCCTTCTTGAATACAGAAATATACATCTTAAGTGATAGGGACTTTTTGCCTCTTGCAGGCTGTACCAAGGGCCTTATGGATTGATCCGTTCTCCCAGCTAGGAAATAGAACAATGCAGACTTTATACCTGGCTGGAGGGCAAGAATCACAAAGTCTTCCATCTTTCATAATGCCCTGTCACATAGGTAACCCAGGATGTACTAGCTAACACAGTCATCACACTGTGGGACACTAACAATTTACTCCTTGAGTTAATCCCTTGGCTTTAATCCTCTGTCATGCCAGAGCAGTACACCAGAAGAAAGAGAAATTTGTACCTTCTGAAAAACACCTGTGGGTGCCCCAGTTTACCACTTGCTTTGCTAGTGCTTGCTAAAACATGTCTACACATGTGAGCTTAATCATACCCCCCTCCCATATCTGAATTCAGCTGACATAGTATTAAAGAGAAGTATTTGACAACCTATTTTAATAGATGTAACTCAAACACAAGTTTAGACAACTCTGAAGAAGCTGAGCAAAAATAAGTTTTATAAAACCTTGTTCTTGTAAGTGAACTTGTAAAAACACAGACAAGCAGTCTGGTCTTAACTTTAGGTAGGTCTGCATGATCCTAGAACTGCTAAATCCCGTAAGTGAAATCTCTGCACACAGCCCAAGCCATGACACAAAACTCCAGGAACGATTTGGGCACTCACCAACACCCCCTCAAATCCAACACTCACAGTCCACAGCTCACATGCTACAACGTGAAAGCAATCCGATTTCCCAGGTTTGCACGCACAACTAACTCAGCACAAAGGACACTGCTCCCCTAAATGCTCCACTTGGGAAATGTGCAAGTTTTGGGGAGCAAAAATAAGGAACGAACCGCACACGTCATGTCTGGCATCAGGAAAAGTCCTTCGGGAAGACGGGGGAAAGAAACAACATCCGTGCTGCTGCAAGGAGTCACTGAAGGGTGAATAAACGTTTTTAAATGCGACTGTCACTTACTTGTCCAGGACGAAGTAGAGATCAAAGGCACCGTGACAGGAGCGCTGCTCTTCTTGCTCTTCCTCCTCCTCTGGCCGGGCGCAGCAGATTAGGCTCCCCATTGCCAGCAAGAAGCAGCACAAAAATGCCGCTTTCTCCACACTGCTCCAGCAACTCGCCATCTTTTCCCTTTCCTTAATTCTTCCCCTCCTCCCCCAGTCTCTCTCTTTCTCTCTCTCTGCAAATCTTACAGGCGCTTCGGAAACACCGAGAGCAGAGAGAGAGAGAAAAAAAAAATCAAAATAAAACAAACAAAATAGAAATCACTAACTTCAGGATCTCAGCTCAACTCTGAGAGCTCAAGGCAGCCCTGCCCGCGGGGCGCCGGACCGCTGGCTCCGGGCAGGGGGCTGAGCCCAGGCGGATGGTCCCCAGAGCCCAGTCCCCATTCCCTGCCGCCCCGGCGGCTGCCCGAGCGCTCCAGCCCCGTCCCGCAAGGAGAGAACAGGCTCCTCTCGCACGGGCCAAAGGCAGGAAGGGGCAGAGGGAGGGGAGCGGGAGGAGGGAGACAGGATCTTATGGGGGCAAGATGAGCTGAGACTTTCCTGTTCCGGGATACCGATATGGCAGAGGCTGCTGCTAGCGAGGGACCGAGGTTAGGGACCACTGCCCGCCGCCGCGGGGGCACAGGGCGGGCGCTCCTGCCTCCTTCCCTCTCGGACTGCCCTCGGGGCAGGGCCGCGGGCAGCGGACTCCGCCGCCGGCGGGCAGGGAAGCCGGACAGGAGCCAGGGCAGCCCGGCTACATTCCGGAGCATCGCTGCGCGTCCTGCTAAGCCTCTCTCCAGCAGGCTCGGGAGCGGCTGGAACCCAGAGCTGAGAGGTGGCAGAGCCCAAAGCAGAAAAAGTTGCTGTAGGAGATGGGCGTCGTGGCAAAAATCTGTGACAAAGCAGAGGCGGGGGGCGCAACGCGAGAGGGCACTTAAGGAAAACCTGTTTGCAGCTGAGTGCAATTAAAAAGATTATTGCTTGGGGGCGGGGGTAGGGGCAGGTTTTCACGGCCCTCTCGTGCCACAGCAAATTGTTTCTCTTCGTGGAAATCTTGGTTTACTCACACTGGAGCCTGAACACATCCTGCAGGCGATGAGTAATGATGAAATGAAATCTCTTAATGGAGGCTTTGCACAGTAGCATAATCACTCGCCGCCTGATACACACAGGTTACAAAGCGCTGCCCTAAAGAGATTGCCCAGCTCATCTGGATGCTGTCTCCAAAGTTTGAATAATTAGTGGCTCTCAGCCGCTTCCCCCTCCCCCACACTCTTTGCAGCCCCTAATTAATGAAAAGAGCCACGGGGAGGGATGCGAGCAGAGTCACTTTGCATGACAGAGCTGGGGCTAGACATTTCTCTCTCGGGGCGAGGCTCCCATCGCGAGCCAAGGAGGAGGGAATCCATCCCCTGTGCGGTGCTGGCGCGCTGTCCCACCGAGCACAGCCCCCCGAATACCCAGCGCTTCGCCGGGGCCTCTTCACCCGGGGAGCCATCACGCTCCAGCCGGGAGCCCCTTCTACGCGCCAGCGGCAAAAAGTGACACCTCCAGTCCCCGACAAAGGTGGTACCCACGGGGGGCACGGCCCACCCGGGCGGGCTCGGCGCGCTGCCCTGCGGGTGTGGGACCGTGAGCGTTGTTTCCCCACCGCACACGGCAGCCCTGCCCGCTCCGCCCTGCGTGTGCGGCTCCCTGGGGAGCGGGGGGATGCCCCACGCAGCCGAAGGGCCCTTTCCCCCGCGCCCGACGAGGACACGCGTGGGCGCGGCGCGGCTGCCCCCGGGCGCAAAGCCCCTTGGCCGTGGGACCCCGCGCCCCTCCAGCAGCCTTGGCGTGCTTGGTGCGGGGGAGGCTGCCGCCCGCGAGTCTGAAATAAAGTTTGCACTTCGGGGAAGGCATCTCCATTTCAGTTGCGTGTTTCTGTGCTGGACCGAGTTCAGACACAGCCAACCGCGGCGGCGGTCGAGGACTTATCAAGGAAAGATTAGAGGGTCCACCGGCTTTCAGCCGCTTTGCCTGGTTTAGCTATGCACAGCTAAAAGCTGAATGCACTGCTTGAGCTCACCACTTGAAAGGTTTTTTGAGCACTGGCCAGTTGAGACCCAGCGATTACTTAGATCATGGAGAAATAGAAAAAACCCACATCCTCCCTGGCGACATTCACAAAAAATGAGCAAACGGCTGCTGAGCAGCAGGAATCCCCCGCTTCCTCCCGCGCCGCCGGGCTTCGGCCTCGCCGGTGCCCACTAGTGTCCGCAGCCCGCCTGGTCCCTGGGGACCCTCGGCCCCCGCTGCCCGAGGCAGCCTTCCTTCCCCGCACACACCGCAGCCTTTCAAAACGAAATAAAAATGCTGATAGTGTCAGATTCCCTCCGTGCCTCGAGAAGATCAGATTGTGTGGTAAAATAACGCGGCAGACTTCAAGGGAGTCTCCAAAGCAAAGTAAGGCACTGCCGAGAAAAAAATTACTATTTTTCGATAACGTGCACTGCCCTTCTCTAGGCTCTAACATATCCTCTGATTCTGTAAAGAGAGATGGCCTGCTCATCTACCTGCTCCGAAGGGCCCGGCGAGGGGGCACGTTTTAATGCTAGGTGGGCGTATGCAAAAGCAAGTCCTGCCTCGGTCAGTGCTGGGCAGAAACACCCTGCGCAATGTGAGGCTGCGTCTTTGCTAGCGCCCCTTCCCTGCTCCTCTGTCCCCTGCGAGGAGGGCCAGAGCCTTCTGTTTCTAACAAAACAGGTTTTCCGATCGGCCTGAGCCCCTCCTGTGGCTGTCACAGCCCGGGCAGGCCTGTCCGTCCCCAAGCCCGAGCCCGGTATGTGCGGGTCAGGAGGGAGCGGGCAGGCAGGGCGGGCCGGGCCGGTGATCCCCGTGCCTGGAGCCATTTGATCGAGTCTTGCTCGAAGGAAAATCACACCAAGCACCAGAAGAGCTGACCCTAAGGTGCAGATCTCACCCTCCTTGGGACACAGGTTACCTCAGCACACCGTCTCACAGTGCTTCAAGCACTGTAAGGCACGTCTAATGGTCCCTTCTTACACCTTCTGTCGCTATTTGCATAAAGGCTGCAAAAATTATAAACTCTTATGATATGAAGTGCAGCGGGAATTGTCCATCCCAGTTTACTACACCTGCATCCCAAATCGGCCGATGTTTCCTAAGCAGTATTAGGAGATGCCTCCGGCACACCTGTTCCTGGGCAGGCAGTAGGATACAGAGCTTCCAGGGTGGCTGGGCAGCTACCAAACCCCCGCTGCCCTCAGCAATGTTGTTCGTGCAGTCCGAGCCGAATTTTAAGAGAACAGGAACTCTTGAGTTCATCCTCTATAATCCCTGTATCACAGAACACAGCGAGAATGGTTCACTCTCATTATTGGTATAAGATTACTCTTCAATTGCAGTGAAAATCCATCCTTTCAAAAGCATTAAAGTGTTGACATTTCTTTTCCTGATACAAGCCCATATTCAGATTACATGGACACTAATCAAATAACCCGGGTTATTTCATTTGTCAACATGTTCATAAAAATTTTCTACCAGGCGTTAAAGGCATTTATATGGAACGACATCTTTCAAAAGCAATGTTGCTAGTCCAGATTTAGGGTATATTTGATTATGACAACACGTTTGATGGTTTTATTTTACATACCAGCTGTGCCACAAATCGTTTCATACCTCAAAGTCCTAATTTTTATCCTGCGAGTGTTTTCTATGAAGCAGTAGTTTTCATTTTAAGCCGCTCTTTTCAATACCTGCAGCTCCTAGAAGAGCCTTCTATTCAAAAGCGTTGTCAGATGATCTAAAGGACAAGTGGGAAGGAGGCTTTGGAGATGGTTTTGTTTGGTTTATTTCGACGTGCGTGTGTGGTCCCCCCCCCCCCCCCAACTTTAAAAGAAACTCCTCGGTTCGTGGTACCGTTACAAGGGGGAATCCCGTCCCCTTCTGGCTGCCCCGCGCTGCTGTCCGCAGCCGCTGCGGGATGGCTTCTGCTCGGCCAGGGCTGCGGGCCCCCGCGGGCGGGCTGGCAGCGGCTCCCGGGGGAGGGGGACGCCTGGCTGGCGGCGGGGTCGGGGGCAGGAGCTGCGGTAGGCGTTTCCCGGGGTCTGCTCTGGGCGGGGAGCCGCGGCGGGGGAGGAGGGTGCCGGCGTGCTGGGGCGGTGCGGCAGCGGGGGGCTGCGGCGCGGCTCTTGGGGGGCCGGGCGGCCCCGGCGGTGGGGTGAGCTGAGCTGAGCTGAGGTGAGCTGAGGTGAGGGCTCCGCGGGCACTTGTCCGTAGCGGGATCCCGGGAGAGGGACGGGGCGCGGCGGGACCCCCGGCGCCGCAGCTCCCCCGTCCGCGGGGAGCCTGCAGCGGGACCCCCAGGTGAGCGGGGCCGGGCAGAGGGGCCGGGGTGGAGGGGCCGGGCGGGGGTCTCGGCGCGGCCGCTGCCCCTGCGGAGCGCGGCGAGGCGGCAGCAGCCCCGTCCGTCCCGGGCTGCGCTCCCGGAGCCGCGGAGCGCCGCGCTGCCGGGGCCGGGCCGGGGCCTGCGCGGGGATTCCCGAGCCTGCCCGGGGACAGGGACGGGGGCCGGGCTGCCCCGGGGCCGGGGAGCAGGTGAGGGCACGGGGGTGGCCTTTGCTGACTTGTGCCTAGCCCGGCCGTGCCGCCGCCCGCTCGGTGCGGCTGCCGGGGGCCCCGGGCAGAGTGCCCCGAGCGGCCGTGCCCAGCCCGGCTGCCGGGGGCCGTGCCGAGGCGGAGGCGGAGGCGGGACCCCTCGGCAGCCCCGCCGGCAGCCGCCCTTCTCCTCCCTCCCGGCTGTCTTCTCTCGCCGGGAACTCTCGAGCATCAGTTGCTCTTTTTATTGGTTACAGCGCTCCTCGTCCTTCTAACTTCTACAGGTGACCAGAGCATCGTGGCTGTTTTAGGTACTTACGTAGGGTCTAATTGCTTTTATGGAATTGATGAACTTTGTTTGGAATAGCTCACATTGTTATTCTCTGTTTGTATGTATTCCTTATATCAGGATATCCATGTAGTAGAAATTTCTTACTTAAGTTAGGAGCTGCTATTGCTATCACTTTAAAATGTCACATTAATCTTTAAATTTGCGAATCTTTACATTTAAAGGTTTCTGTAGGAATTCAGTCCACTGAAAATGTTTGAAGCATTTTAACGACTTTTCTGAGAACTGACAGCTACCAGTTGAAAGAAATGTCAATAGAAACTTGATGGAAGATCATATTTTTAATAGTTTTGTATTTTTAGTATAGTTGCTTTCAAATAAAAAGCAGTTGCAGTCATGCATGAAATTCAGAATTTAATAATAAACTATGTCTCAGGAGTTTTCCCTTATTTTTGGCTTTTAAAAATGCAAAATGTAGCAATTGACAGCTTTTGTTACTATGTATTAAGAATAACTGCTACTAGAGAGAGACTAGAGGAATTTCTTTTGGCAGTAGGGTGATTAAATTTATGTTTTTTAATGTATAAAACTACACCAAAGAATAAGCTGTAATTTGAAAATGCAATTCTTTTTTTGTATTTAACCATTTTTCAGCATTTCAAAGCAAAGTAAAGCTGCTTTATGGAACTCTACATTTATCATTTTATAGAGAAAATAGTTTTGTAGCAATAGAAATGCTAATGTAAAGTCAAAATATTTAGATCCTGTTAGCTCAGTGTAATATAACCAGATGAGAAAGTACAAAAATAAATTATGTGTAAGAATTAGAGAGTGCACCAGAGATTTTGGAAAATAAATTAGTTGGCTAAATCCTAGTATTTACAGATGGATATTTCCATGTCTGTAATGCTGTGATTCTGTTAATATAATTTTCCTGAAACACAGTCTTATGTTGCCTGCAATTGCTATTGATAAACACCAGGTCAAAGAACAAAATATTTTCTTGGAAAACAAACTATTTTAGGTAAGACCTATTTTAATTGACAAAATCACTTTCAATTAAAAGGTTTAATTGTAGCGAAAAATAATTTATTTATGTTGCTTCCCACAATTTCACCTTGCATAGTGTCCTTCAGCCCTGTCACTTGCTCTTATTGGAGATGACATCTTGTAGTAAGTTTAGCACAAATGTAAGTAAGATTAATGTAAGTTAATGCCACTTAGTACCATGGAAGAAATCTTCAGCATCAGCCATGTGGAAGTAACTGATCTTTGTTTAAAAATATTTCTTTTCAGATACAAATGATGAACATGCAAAATCACAAAAAATAAACAGGTGTATGTCTGGCTGTGAACGCATGTATGTGTGCATATGTGTTTCCATCTTTATGTATGTGCTTACACACCACATGTATATGTTTTTCTGTCAGAAAGAAACATTTGAACACATACTCCTTTTTTTTTTAAGCTGCCAAAATCAATAGCAGGACTCTTAAATAGGAGCATATCTTAATATGTCTTTACATTCAATCAGATAATGTAACTTTAAAAAATTTCTGAAGAGAGACATCAATGTGAATTGTATCAAGAGGGAAGACAAATATTTATGACTGTTTTCACAAGTTACACATTTTGGTTCAGCCTGTGTTTGGATCATGTTGTTTGGTTGGCTGTTGTTTCTCCATTTTCTGTGGCTACATACAGGGACTGGTGTTTTTGTCTGCATGGATGCCTCGGTGAAGGAACAAATGCACAGATCTTTATGAGAACAAATGTGTTAGCACAGATTACTGTGGTCAGGGCTGCTGTTTGTGTGAATCAAGGATTTTGCTGAAAGCAGGCACACACGTCTGTGTGACAAGTAACTTTCCTAGACTGTGTGACAGATGAATGGTTGCCTTCTTTGTTTCCCCTCTCATGGAATAACATTTGCTTTCTGCTCTTTTTGGATGTCCCTGTAAAATTCAAACTTCCTGTGATGTTTTGGAGCATTATGTCAATTGCTGAGTGGTGAACAAAGCCAGAGCAGCAGGTGCAAAACCAGACCAAGTCTCTGAGGTGATCACCAGCCCAATTCAGGCCTGGATATGAGATACTGTGAGCTCTGAACTGAAATGTATCCATAGCGTGTATGGCATGTACAGCTGTATAAGCAGTTGAAATTACGTATTCATAACATTCACAGTTAATAACAGTTTGATAATCCCCAGTCCTGGCTGAAAAATTAAAACATGCTCCCTTTATCCTACAGAAACCCAGTTTTTTCATTTATCCTACAGAAACCCTGTTTTTTAGGTCTTAGGTCATGAAACCACAAGAGTGAAGTAGTGGATAAATGCACTGCTTCATTAAATAGAGCAGCTGTAAGCCAGTGAAGAGTCAGCCCTTCACACAAAAATAAAGTCTTTGAAAACCAGTAGACTACGGAGCTGTAGTCATCTCCTCTTTATGCACAGGTGGATTGTCTGATTTAAGAGTGACTTGTACAGCCCAGTACCATCCAACAGGGTCCATTAGATCAGACACAGTGCCAGACAGAAGCATTCATTCTGTCCTTGAGACCAACCCAGCTGGAAAGGAATATTGACATTTTATGCATCATAAAGCCAAATTCCTAGACCTAGTCTGTTTGAACCACCAGGATTGCAAAAAATAAATGTACTTCATCCTTTGCAATGGATGCAGCATGGTATTACTCTTGCTTATTGTCCAGTTTGAAGTATCAAGAGTTCTCCCAGTGCCTGCACTGCATTTCTTGTAGTCGAGAGCTGGAAGAGATGGAACAGAGACCTCAGTGGCCCTGTTGTTCATTTTCTGCCAGATTCAAAACCTCCAGCTAAATCCAAGGAGGCTTCATGTGGAACTGTGCAGATACTGTTACATCACACATCCCAACAAGGGAGTATTAACGAGGCTTTCCAGCTGTGTGGGATAGCCCATTCCTTCCCTACCTACCACATTTCTGGCCATAGAAGAGAGTGGAAGAAGAAATAGGGGTTCAGTGTGGAAATCTCAAAAACCATAGGGAAGTTTGGTGCTGGGCTGCCATTTGAGAGCCAGTGGTGTGAGAGTACGTGACTCTGTTGGGACTTGTTCAAATCTCAGTTATTTTCTCATCAAACTAAATGTGATGCTCAATCCCAGGCATTTTGTTCCTGGGCATCAGGTAAAGACTGGAAATTGCATCCTTGTGGTGATCTTGGAGACGTGATGTAATCTTCATCTGCTTTGGAGAGGGAGGTCTGCATGTCTGTGTGGGAGCTGCTATGCATCAGGAGAGAGGCCACTTCAACTTCCCTATTCTCTAAGAAAATAAGAAGAAACCTGTAAGCTTTTCTTTTAGTTTCTGCTTCCAAATTGTTCCTGTGTGTCACAAGACTTGTTGAAAGCAAATGTAGAGCTTGAGGTATTTGTTAATTTCCAAGCAGGGATTTTATCTCTGTCTTCATTATTCCCACAGAAGTTTGAGAGTTTGTTTATAATAAAAAGGTTTGGCAGTTTCATGATTCACTAGGCTAGGTATCCAGCCAAGATATAATGATGGTTCATCAAAAGCTGTCAGCTTACATTGCATGTACTGGGGATTTCAGATGATGGAAGACAATCTGAAGACCACACAGCCTTAAAATAGTAAGAACTGAAGAACTGCTCCCTGAAGGTATCAGGATAATACAATAACAAAGTCGTGAGCACCCCATAAACTTAAAGGTCTCTAATTCACAATAAAACCTTCATAAGGGCCCACTTTCTAAAAGCTCAAACTAGACACCAAACTCCACACCCCAAGCTGTTTCCTGATCATTCCAGAGGAATCTAGGCAGTGAGTTTCCCTATTTCTACTCATTATTTTTAGGTACTTGTCAGGTTAGAGTTGTGCAGCTGCTGTACAGAGAAGTGTGAAGAAAGAAAGCTGGGGAAGCCTGGAATGCCAAGGAAGACCATGTCCATGCATCAGGCTAGTTCAGTCCCAATTTTATTCCACTCCTTCAGATTCTGTCAATCTCTGCAGTCAATAAATTCCTCCTTGATGCATAGTTGTATTTCCTTCTACTTCTTCCCAGATGTCTAGCTCAGGTAAGCACATCAGGCAAGTGTGACTCAATCATGCCAGGAGAACAGGGGATATGTTAGATGAGCAGTACATTAAGAACTGTGAGGAACTGAGAAGAGAGGTAATCAAAATATGCCTCAACTGTAGCCCTGGGCTGCAAAAAAAAAGGTAAAAATTCCAGTCTCCACAGGTTTAATTATTGTTCTGTCATTTACCTCATCAGTGCTAATTGGGCTGTTCTTAATGCATAGATGTGACGTGGCTCACTGGCAGGAAAGGGGCCTCTGGGTCAGCCGCCTTCTTGCTTCTCTGCAGGATCACTGCTGGGATCCAAATTTGTGACCAGTAAAAATGGGAAGATGAAAGAGCATAGTCAAAGCTCAGAAATTCAGGGTGTATTGTCTTATGTCCATCTCAAAGATGGACAGGTTGCTAAACCTGAGACTCAGAAATGAGTGACATATGAGTAGTTTTTCTTAAATTCCAGAGAAATTATTTCCAAGGTAATCAAAGATCTTTGTATACTCTGCTAGGGGTGTAATATCTGTCTGAGGGGTAGCAAACCCACCCCCAGATGGCTTTCTTCATTCCAGAAAGGCTGGGAATGGCAACACATCCCTGTATCTCCAAGTGTTTCTGTACAATTTTCTTCATGTGTGTGGGATTTTCAGCAGTGAAAGTGCAAAGAAAAAATTTTGTGCTCAGAAAGACCTAACTTGCACCCAAGCTGAAGCACATAAACATTAGCAGTGAACTAAAAGAAATTACTTGTTTAGACTTTTCATGCTTTAAAGGACTTCTCAGCTTGTGATTGAATTTAGGAAACAGGGTTTAGTTTCAGGATTTATTTCTTGAGTTCTGGGATTATTTTTTAAAGCAAGAATTCTCAATTCTTTTACTTGATTCCCAGCCAGTTTCCTTCAGTTTTAGTTTTGATTTTTCTCCTTTGCAGTTCACAACTTAAATAAAGGGAGAAGAAAACCTGGCCTAGAAGAAAAGCAACTGTATAAAACCCAAGAATAGATTTTCTCGCTTTTCTATTTCATATTCCCTTAAAATTTCCTTCATGTGTTAAGAATCCTCAGTTCCTTATAACAACAGAAAATAGTAAATGCTGCAGACAGAACCACTCTGTCTGCATCAGCTCAATTCCTTTATTATCTGCAGTTTATTGTGCATGACACTGCACGTCTGATCGTGGATTCCTCAGACCGACAGACCTGCTAGTGAAATCAAAGGCAGTTTTGGCAGCAGCCACAGGACTGCACTGGCACAGTCACAGGTTATGTGCTTCAGGGAAAATGCCATCACACTTTGGAGCAGAAAGGAGTAAGTTAAAAGGTGAAGGAAATGATGGCTCCAGTATTTAATATTTCTGTTTATTTTTTTCTTTCAGTTTTGTTGATTTGGGAAATGCAGAGCTACAGTGTTTACATTAACCTCTGCTCTGGAGAAAGTCTGGAGTAAATACAAAAATGGTTGGGAAGATGCTTTCCAGGATTAAATACTTTTAATTATTTTTTGAGATTACATTCTGTGCTATTTTTTTTTTCCAGCTAGGATAATTGCTTTGAAAGTGATATAACTATATGCAAATTAATCTGCAGTTAAAATAGAAGTAAAGGTGAAATAGAAGTAGTTATTGACAATTTTGAAAATCCAATTAATTTTAGAGAAACAGTTTTTATTACCTGCTTCTGTTTTTGATTGTGAAGAGCTGAACTGGCTAAATAAGTTCTGGCTGAAATGGTTCCTCTCTTGCAAATGTAATTTGTTTTCTTCCCACTTGCATAGCTGATCATAATTCTAAGCAGGGTGCCTTTCGGGCCACTAAGAAGCTGCAAACGATGCCACAGTTCAATGTGGTTACTGTGGCAAGAAGAATGGGGTCAAGTCCTCTGAAAACAGAATTCAGGGGAGTCCTTGCTCAAATCAGTGCTTCTACATTTGGGAATTTTCAGACATTTCTTAGGAGGGCTTGCAGTGACATCTGAAGGCCATGAAGTAGAAAACCAGGGATGTGAAAATTCCTTTCTTTTCCTCTCTGGTAACATGTTTTTCTCACGAGGTGCAGGAGCTATATAAACATATTTCAGGAAGGTAGAAGTTGTAAACCTAATTAGTTAATGGGACGCTATACAAGTGCTAGGAAATGGGGAGAGACTAGGAGAAGGCTATCTTTAGAGTTCCACCTTGGAAGAACACTCAGGAAACCAAAAGTTGACTAACAATTTGTGTGCTGCTCTGTAGGCAAGCAGGCTGGGAACATTTGCTGCAAGCATCATCTATTTCATGTGCTTTTCAATGGAACATCCAGAATTGCATAATCCATAGGGAGTTGCCTGCCCATAGGTCCTTGTTCTTTGACAGATCTGTCACACTTCTCAGAAATCAAGATGCAAAATCCATCACTCAGGGACATGGTATATGTGTATCAGATACTGTCTGGGGGATGAAGAGTCCATTAAACAGCAAGTCCCTAAACTCATCCATATGAAGAATTCACATCTGTGACAGATAGAATATGGAGAGTACCCCTAACAGGTGATCTGAGTCCAATGTGCTACTGAAGCACTATAAATATTCATTTTATTTCAGCCTCTCAGAGATGTCTGTGAGTGATTCCAGAGGGATAGGAGCTGCTCATGCAGAACCTGAGTGGCAACAGCAAGATCATGTTGTGGAGGGGGATCCTGGGAAGCAATGGCACTCCCGGCACTGGCAGTTTGGGACAAGCATATCACTGCCTGCATGATGTAGAGCTGAAGATCTGACCTTCACAATGAAGCCTGTGGTAGAGTTCTGTAAACTTTGCTACACACTAGGAGAAGAGCGAATGAAGTCATATGTACAACAGCTAGTGAATCTGTAAGAAATGAAGGCACAGCAGATTTATTGCTCAACGAAGGAGGTAGCCAAAATGAGGAGATCAATGGCATGAAGACAAGAGTAATCAGTTGGGTGAGGTCATGGGGAGCAGTCATTCTCTGTTATGAGAATTTTCTCTCTTCTTCACTCACTGGGAAGAATGTGAGTGATTCACCTACTTCAGCCTGTCAAATTAAAATGGCAGGCATTCTAGTATACCGTCTCCATTTCTCATTATGACTTCATTTGCAAGTTCTTAATGAATTTCCTTTGACTATGAAGACTGTTGGCAAAAGTGTGAGATTTGCATTGAAACCAGATTTTATAAGTAAACAAGGGCTCAAGTACTGGGTTCATGGTTTGGTGTAGAATTCTCATTCAGGCTCAAGTCTGAAGTTCCTGAAAACTTAAGGGAGGTTTTATTAAAAAAAAAAAAAACAAAAAAAAAAAAAAACTCTAAGCATCTTGACTGTGGCTGAAATTTTGGCTTTAGATTATAATCAGATGAAAAACATGTAGAGTAACGATTCCTGCCTGACAGGGTGCTCAGAACCGGAGGCCGTAGATGCACGGACAGAGCCTGGGGATGTCCTGCTTCGCTTGCTCAGGGGCGCTGTGTTATGCTGAGCTGTGACACTAGATGGTGCATTCGCCCCGTCCTTGGAAAAGATGCAGCTTCCCAGTGCCTTTGGCGCAAGGCCGACGGTCACTGTCCCATCTGCTGTGTAATCACAGTGCATCCTTCTCACAGCTTTTCACAAAAGTGACCCTTCCGTGCAAGAGTCAAATTCCGTGCTCCCACAGCTGCCAGAGTGCCACTTTGGGACTTTGGCATGTAGGCTGGGGTTTTTTTTTTTTGTCTGATCACATATTAAGTTAACAAGTAATTTAGGAACAAGCAAACTTTAATGTCATATTGGGTTCAAGGGATGCTTGAGGTTGGATAGAGGGCATATGTTATCCCACTCTTTGCCTTGGTTGTCTGGTTTAGGCCTTCATCCTTCTGATGTTTACTACATACTGAATGTCTGACTGTGTATTTTAATATTTTTAGGGTATGGTGTTAGACCTTGCCTACAAGGTATAAATTATACTGATTTAACTACACTGATTTAGAAACTGATGTAGTTAAATCAGTGCAACTCTCCTGAGCACTTTGTACCACTTCAGTTTAAGTCATGAGTCAGTGAATAACAAATCAATTCTGTTGGCAGAGAGTGAGAAAGATTAGACTAGATTTTCAGCCCATCTATCTCAGTATTTATTAGGCTAAGGCCTCTTCAGGGCTTGTTGCTGTTCTCTTTAATTTTCTCTGCCTAATGGACCTGATCCAGCTCTTGATGGCGTAAATGAGGGGTTTTCCATGACCTCCAGCTGGGAGCTGGAGATGGCAATATCTTTATTAGAAACCTAGAGAGGCTTAGAATGACAAATAACTCAAGCCTGTCTTCTCCTCATTGCATACTGAGTTCTCAGATTGTGGCTCATATTGCAGAAGCTGCATCTGCAATGACAAATATATTATTCTACATTCAGTGCTGGAAAATTTATCCACTAAAGACAGGAATCTCTACTAACATTGTGTTAGGAGTATCACTATGAAAAGAGTCATAATCTGATTTGATTTTCTCAACAACAGCTGACAACATATACTTTGAGGCAGGATGAATAAAATTATTTTCTGGAATTTCCACAAATTTTGTGCATTCTGGTTGGACAGACTCAGGACTTAGGTTATTCCTGGTTTTGTAGCAGCTTAACCAGAAATTAGACTGATGTTGCACTCAAGCAAAAAAAGCACAGCTTTTTCAAAATGTGTTTCAAAAAGTCTTGCTTTATTTTGTTTCTGTTCTCCTTCTCTACCTTTCTTCACGCTTCTACAAACTATTAATAATAAGAAGGATATCTGAGAATATGCTTAAGAATATGCTGAGTTCTACCCACTGAAAATTTTGCTTATTTTTCCCAAATCTTCTTATTCCTGTCTGTAGAGAGCAGCGGTTGAACTCTTGGACTGTCTGCCTATTCCAGGAAGAGTAATTCACTTGTTTACAAACCTAAGATTTTGGTTTAGTGAAAAGTAATCTTTCTCATTCTGAACTGGATATTAATAAAGCTGTAAACTCTGTAACTAACAATGTCCTGGCATACTCTTACAATTCACCTACAGATCCTGGAATTCTTCGTATTTCAAGTAGTGATGCCACATTCTACTTCTATCTCTGTGCCAAATGTGATTTCTTGTGTTTTTTACAGATTTATAATGGAACTTACATCTTTGCCTAAATTCCTTTGGACAAGTGACAACAAGCTTCTGCATCACCATTTTCCAGACATACTGGCTACTGTTCATACCACACAAGACATCCCTGAAGAAGTTGTTTTTGGACCATGCATGCTCCAGAACACCCTGCTGGACACTGTAGCTTTCATTGCTCTCAAGTGTTCTGACAGACGGAACATCCACTATGTATTTAAGGTATGAGAAAAATATGAATGTTTAATGTTAGAACGATCAAAAAGAGTTACACCATCCCTGAGAAGGTAACTTTGCAAGGGGTAGGTTTTTGTTTTGTTCAGCACAAGTAACAGCTCCTTCAGAGAGAAAAGGCCAGTGCATTTCTGATTTATGAACTGTAGACTTGAAGGACCTAAGGAAAACTCTATCCTTTGCAGAAAGAATACAAAGTCCCACTTTTATGCTGATGATTGATGACCTGCTTCAGATCTGACTTGGAACAGGAGGGAAGAGGGACAAATAGTTTAGTAACTTCTAGTTCAGCTTCTGACAGGACAAAGGAGGTTTATCACACCAAAGAAGGCGTGCCAGTCCTGTGAGAACAGAGAGGGAAGACTGTGGCATTTCACTGATTCATGCAAGGGGTACATTCACAGCATTTATTTACAGATCTAGGCAACTGCTACCCCAGTGTGTTCAGTTATCCTTAAAAGCGAAACCACAATGGCAGACAGGCAACTCCACACACACTTTGGGCTGCCACAACTTAACTGCTGTTAGTACATGGACTTCCTAAAGTCACCTTAGGTCTGTATGTCTGTGTTACAGCTGCTCTTTTCAATCACTGTAGGGAAGGCAGAAACCCCAGGATTGTAATGGACTGTTAACTCTCAAGCTCTAGTTCCCCAATTTTTTTTTGTTTTGTTTCATAGTCACTGTTTATCATGCTGACCACTTACCCTGGCTTTCTGGGTCATGGAGTGCCTTTCAGTTGTTCAGACTGTTGGTCTAGATGAAGACAGGGAGGTGTTTTACAGTGTGAGGAAAGCCAGTTTCCCACATTCTATGGGATGGATGGATCTGAGAAAGATCCAGGTTTGCCTAAGATTCCTGAGCTCTGGAGGAGGGAAATCCCAAGGCATATGTGGAATATGGAAGATACAGATGTTGAGAGATAACCTGTTCTACACTTCTGCTTTAAACAAATTATGAGAGAGAAGAAGAGGTTTCAGGGTTTATCTGACTGCTTTGAGTCTGTGGCACAAGTTTGCTTTCTTGGACAGTGTTATTAGTACTCCAGGAGTCCAACAAACTCTTTGGAGAGAGACCTGCCCTGAAATAAGGCTTTAAATTTTTGAATATTTCTGTATTTCTCCTGGGAGTTTTGAATTACTGTAGAGAGAGCCTCAAAGGTTTTCTACATTGGAAGAGCCCTCTAGAGGGATGGCTTTAGTGTTTTCCTACACTTGAGCTAAGTAATTGCTATGCAGCAATGAAATTGGATGCCTGAGTTGGCTCAGATCTCTGTCTTTTGGCAGTAAATACATGAAATTCTGTGCAAGTAGCTGTTTCAGATGCAATTGGTAGTCCCATATCCTGTTAACTACTCATAATTAAAAGTAAACCTCCCAGAAATCAGGAACTACCATCAGACTCCTAACTGTGTGTAGTAATTAAAAATTCAATCATGATGCTATGTTGTCATCATGGCACTGAAGAAAAAATGTGTTTTGCTTTGCTGGGTATAGTGCAAACAGAATACACACAAAAATGAATTGGCAAGGTGGATTTGTTGCAACTGAGGTTTCTGTTCATCATCGTTCATCAGCACTCCTGAAATTTGGGGAATGTTATTTCTAACAAGGGTTTCATCATCTTGGGCTTTTTTCTTTAGACCAAAGGAGAACTTCATAATCTTTTTTCCCTCATTTTCTTGGTGACATTAATTTGAGCTCCTTGGCCCAGTTTGTAGACTTGGGCAAAGAAGATGCATTGGCAGCCATTGGCACAGGTAGCTCTTTCCAGCTGATTCCTCTGCCCCTTACAGCTTCTTGCGGATTTCAAGGAAAAGCCTTATTTTCTCCCTTCTCTTCCAGCATCTCCCAAGGGAGGCATATTCCTACACAGCCCATCTCTGACTGAGATGCTGGGCTGTGGAGGCCTTACCTCATGTGTGGGTGCCAAGGGTCCATCTGGGGGATTGACACCTCCAGGAGAGGGTGGATTTGTCAGGTTTATAGTCTCTGAACACATGGAAAACTAAAGCTGGTTCGTGAGTTGGCAGCACCCAGATCTTATCTTACATCTGGTACTCCTCCTCACCTACTTGAAGCGCACTGAGCTCTTTCCCTGGAGTCCTGGTGGAGCTGTGCTCCCTTTGACTTTGCTTAGAGCACCGGGTGGCTGCTCAGTATTTCTGAAACACAGCAACTAAAATATGACAGCCTCTGTCATAGCTATTAGTTACAGCCACTGTGTGTGGGTGGGTGTTCCTGTGTTGCTGTCAGGCACTTGTATTTCTCAATCATTGTTAATTACCATGGCATTTAGAGAGAACTAGTTTCAGGGCATGCTAATTTATTTTCTCTCTTACACTAAATAACTCTCATCCTAATGGTCTCTTAATGTTTCATTCTTGTATCCCAGCTACTAATGTGATCAAACTTTTCATGGTAGGTAATAGTCAGTTAAAACCAGAGAAATAATTAGCCAAAATATTGTTTCTGATACCAAACACGAAAGAATGGCTACCCTGCAATTAGTGGAAAACAAAGAGCTATACATTGCTTGGGGTGAAATTTAGAATACTTGTCATTAGACATTTTTCATTTGCAAAATTCTTCCTTTTTAAACAATGATTAGTGCTTCAAAAATTAGTTTTTATGCATATAAATGTTGCCTTTGATCACCCTGTGTTTTAACCTTCAAGCTATGAAAATATTCCCTTTCAAATGTTGCAGAGGGCACAGACCTGCTGTGGTAAACACCAAGGAAAAACCTATAAAGAAATCAATCATTCCCTATTCAATGTAATAAAATAACTAAGATTGGAGTCACACACTGCGTGAGGAAGACAATGCCAAATGTTTTGTACTTACATTATTTACTTGTCAACCTGTGACTAAATGACTCGGGAGTCCTGTGGAGTAAAAATTATATGTGGTTTAGGACTATGCTGTAATATACACATAAAACAGAAATTTAATTTGAGCAATAGACTTAATATTATTTTTTACTTTTTAGTGCTGTCCTGCGCAACCTGAGAAATGTTTTTAAACTTAATTTGTTTGGTATATCTGCATGTACAAAAATTGAAAGTAAATCAACCCCTTGCAACTCTCAGAAATTATTTAACAAAACATATTGATATGATGAGGTTTATCTGTTTAGATACCTTGAAATTAATTTAATCAATCTAGCAAAGGTAAAATATAATTTTATCTCTGAAAAAAAGGAAAGAGATCATATAAGTGCTTCTTATAGTTGTATATATTAAAATCTGTATTTTATGTAAGCTAGCCAAACAGCCATGCAGATGTTTACTTGGGATATTGAATCAAATAACCGTGACTTTTCCTACACCCACTGATCCATATCCTCTTGTGTCAGTGAAAAACTCCACATGCAACTGTCCCGAGTTAAGTTCATTCCCAGTTTCACACTGCACTGGTCCAGGGGTCTGCACATCTCTCAGTGCCCAAGTCACAGCACTGGCACATCTCCTGACTCATATTCCACTTTCATACCCCAAGGATTGAGACCCTTTCTTAAGAGAGGATCACAGCTCCTGTACCTCTGTGATGCACACCTGGCACAGTGCCATGGGATGGTCTGCACAGGACAGGGCTGAAGACTCATCAACACAGCAGCCCTGGCTTTGCCATGGGAGGTTACACATGAACCTTGGTGTCTCCTCCTCCCTCCTACACAGCTGTATTCCAGAGGTCTCAGCCCCCACACTCGGGAAGCCTTCTCCCTGTGATGCCTTTGGATTTGGATTTCTGGCAGATTTGGTGACACTGGGCTCACAGCTTTGTCATATGGGCTCAGTGCAAGGCAGAAACCAGGCTTTGTTCTTGGATTGGGTGAAAATCTTGCTTTGGGCCTCAAGACCTGTAACTTCCCTTCTTTGTGTCCTGTCTCACAGGTGGATGTTACATCTGTGCACAGCCCCACAGGACTGCCGTGGATGAGACTCGTACAGGCAGCTGCCAATAGCAAGGAGCAGAACTTGGAAGCTTACTTAGAAAACAGTCAGTTATACTATCGCTCCACCAGGAGAATCAGCAGAAATGAGGAGCTGCTTGTCTGGTACGATGAGGAGCTTTCCAGCCTCTTGGGTTTCAATGAGATAAAAGCTCAGAGGCCCCAGAATGGTAAGTGCTGAATTGCTGATTGCAGGGTCACTGAGGACTGAAGGGAGTCTGCATCTTCTTTAGGATCTGATTGTCCTGTAATAATACAAAACATGTGTAAATCCTTAGCTGGTCTGCTAAGAGAAAAGATCTGCTTTGAGGTTTGAGCTGGAGGCACAGAGCAAGAAACGATTTGCAGTTCTTAATGCCATTCTCATTGGTACTTTCTAGCAGAGGATGGTGCACGAGGGATTCATGCTGAAATTTTTGAGCTATGCAATGGAAATCTATGCACTTCGATAACTTAGAATCCTAAAAGTCTGAAGTGTCAGTTGGAAATAGGCCTTTTTTAGCTCATTGACAAATCAGGTATAGGCTAGTATTCAGCTTTAATCTTGTAAATGAACAGATCTTTAAAAATACAATAACAATACAATAACAAACCTAACAGTATTGCATGCAGCACACTCTGCGTATTTAGTGTGGGACACAGTGGAAATGAGGAAAAGAGCAGGCTTCAGTTTCTGAGATGTTCCTGGAAATTCATTGCTCCAAAAGAAACTGACCTGGATGTTGTTACAAAACTAAAAACTCCAGATTACTCTCCAGATTACAGAGACACCAAGCAACTTAGTCAGGTGCATACCAAGTCTGACTCCAGCTGTCATTTGCTCTAAATTTTACCTAGACTGGAACAAAACCCCTTTCTACCTTCCCTTTAGTTGAGGTAAATAAAGCTTATATAGACTGGTTAGTAAAGGTATAGGTTGGTAAAGATATGCGTTAGCAAATTTATATGGTAATGTGCTTGTCTGTAAATCAGTATTAAATTAATTCAGACACATTCATAACAGGAGCCGACTAAATCATTCCAGCTGGTTTGAGTGTATTCCATTGGTTTCTGGGTAGACACACACTGCCAGCCCTTTGGATTTACCAGGGAAAAGTGTTACTTGCACAAGAAACACTATATCTAGACTCAAGACTTTAACTCATAGACTTTCCATCCATTTCAGCAGCCTTATTTTCTTATAAAAAGTTCAGCTTCTGTAGTTTGTAAAGTGATATAAGCTGTGCTGAGTCCCAAATTAGGAATTTTTAATTCTACCCAACCAATTTATGAACTTTCCTATGTATCCTAGGCCTCAGGTGCTGGCTGGCATCACTTGCATTGTAAAACTGCTGTGTGGTGAAATAACGTAACATGGATATAGTTTACAAGGGTTAAGATGTACCATATTTGTGTTGATTGCTGAATTTTGTACCATCTGTTCATGGGCAGTCAATCATCCCAATGAACCAGAGGTGCAGTAGGTCTGAAGATCACAAGGAAAGAGTGTTCCTTATTCCTCCTGAACATCACTGGCATTGTTTCAATTTGAACATAATTTCTGTGCCATAGACATTTGTGCCTTAAGGCATATAACAGCTTGCAAATGAGCATGAGTAAGGGCTTCAGGCATTAAGGTCATATAATTATTGAGCAGTATTAAACTTCCAGAGTATCCTAAAAATAGAGAGTCATGTAAAGATCTTTGAATCCTGGTCTAAAACTCATTATTGCTTGGATACATAGTATTTAACCTTCATCCTGAATAAATGCCAGTGACTTAGTTAAGAAATGTAGACCCAAATCTAGATTTAGACTTCAAATCATTATAAAGTCTAAATGGTTTTATCTAGATCATGGTGTACTGGCCATTTTATGTACTTTTATGTAACATAATTACATTTTATGTAATAAAATTTAGGCTTGAGAGTCTAAATGGAATATTTCTGCAGTAGCACGGAAGCATGGAAGCAAATGAGAATGAACCATTTTGCATAGCAGGAAGGGACCCGATTCTGCCCTGGCATTAGTTTTACCATGTGTAACCTTGTATGACACAAGAGGTGTTTCTGGTTTTTTGTGCCAATGACAGGATCAGGATCTGCATCCACCCATGATTCAACCTTTGCAAAACTCATCACTTGTTGTCTGTTTCTGCAGAGCTGAAATGCCAAGAGTGTGACCGAGTCTTTAAATGTGAGCATTCCTATCTGTCCCATGTCCGCTTCCTCTGTGTCCCAGAGAAGAGCGCTCTGCTATGGAGAAACTTCCAGAGCCCTAAAACTGAAAAGAGCAGCCTAGCTGAGCAGACCACGAATTTCCACAGTCTGGCAAGGGACCTGGAAGTCAAAATGTCAGCTTGTAAAGATGATGCACATGGCCTTATTGGAGAAAGGAGAGCAAAATCTGAAGAGGCTGAGAACAACAGGAGCAGGAAAACAGTGCTGTTGGAGAAAACCAATAATTTGACTGAGGAACGTAACTTTGGGGGCAAGGAAGAGGTTGGGGGAGAGCATGCATTGGCTGGTTCTTTCAGGAAGCTTGCTTCAGGGAGGCAGTCAGCTAGGAAGGATGCTTTAGAGCAGAAGCAGAGTGCTTTCACTGAGGTCAGGAGGATGAAAGAGAAGCTGAGGAATGAGAGACTGCAGGAGCCAGAGCAGGAGGATGGCACGGTCCCGCTTGGTAAAGAGCAGGTGTCAAAGGAAGTGTTGCTGAACTCCTCTGGTAGTGCATTCTCCTTTGTTTGGCCTGCCAGAGGTCGAGGAGAACAGAAGAGTGCTTTCAGCAAGCCCAGTAAGTGTGTAACAGAAAGAGCTGCAGTAAATTCTTCTCATCCCATGAGTGAGTCAACAAAGAGCCTGGGGGAGCTGTCTGGCTTCATTGCCACCGCAGACATCATGTGCTGCAGCAGTCTTCTCAATTCCAAGTTCTTTGTCAGTGATTTGTGTAATGCTCAGATGCTGCAGACAAGCATCACTCGGAGCAATGTTTTCCCATATACCTCAGAACCGTGGCTCAAGCAAGCAGGAGGACAGTTACAAAACACCACCACCACTTCCTCCTCCTCCTCCTCTTCCTCCTCTTCCTTGACTCTTCTTCCCCCCACTTTCACATCCTTTGGAGTGGCTGCCCAGAACTGGTGTGCCAAATGCAACCTGTCCTTTCGCATGACGTCTGATTTAGTCTTCCACATGCGGTCACATCACAAAAAGGAATACTCCTCCAGTGAATCCCAGTGCAAGAGGAGACGAGAGGAGAAGCTGACGTGTCCCATTTGCCACGAGTACTTCCGAGAACGCCATCATTTATCCCGGCACATGACTTCTCATAATTAGAGCTATGCAGACAGATGTCACCAAGTGACTGGGCAGGCTGGGTGAAGAAGGGAATGATAGTCAATTAAATCCATTTCTTTTTGAGTTTACATTAATTTCTTTCAGAAAATCACTGTTTACAATAATTTATAATAGATGCTTTGTGAAAAAAAAAATTAAATGTTTACAAGAGTCTGAGTGGGTTTTAAGTTTTGAAAACTCAACCTAGCCCTTGTCAACCTATTTTTGAGGAAATAAAACAGTGAAATGAATCCATATGCAGTGTTAATTTGCAGAGTAGGGACAAAATTATAGATTTGAAAACAGAGTTGTCTTTGCTTATATTTGATTTGCTGGTGTCTGTGCAGTACAATGTAAATACAGAAATAACAACCACCTCATTGAATGAGGAACCTTTAAGCATTAGAAAAATCAGAGCTTATGCGTGAAAAGAAGATAAGTTACTATTTCTAGCAGCATTGGTGGACTCTTACTCTTTTATAGTAGCTGAATCAGGTCTCTTACCAAATTTTTAAGTTAAAAACTGAAACCTTACCATCTCCTTGGCTTTGAAAGGGACCTGAATTTAAGACTGTTTGAAATCTGATTGTCAACAACTGACCAGCACCCTGCCAAAGTGGTTGGAACTTGTAAAGCAGAATATCCAAGTTCCATTCTAGGCTCTGCTGCTTTTGAAATGTCTTTTACAGAGTGAAATCAACATGGGTCTGTATCAAAATGTGAGCTGTTGTCAAAGATTCTAAGACCTGTGTGACTTTAGTAGGCATACAGATCTGATGGGAGTAGAGTTCAGCCTGTGGTTTTCAGGTTTTGGATATACCAAAGGAAGAAGTTAGGGTATCTGAGTTACAATTAGCTACTGATAGATAGAATGTGCACACTTTAATTGTGGATGATAGGCTCTGTTCTGATAACTGCTAGAACAGAAACAAAATGATACAGGTGTAAATGAATTGCACTGCATTGGGCCAATTCCAACTTTTTTAAAAAAGAGAGTGGCATATTCTTTCTCTTGCCTGTCCAAGAGACACTTTCCTTTTGTCTCCTTTTTTTTTTGAGCATTGCTGAATCTCAGCAGCAGATAAATTTATACTGCTCAGAGTGGGAGGAAACACTGTCTATTGTTACTGCAGCCCCATCTAATTAGCCTTTCATTACTTTTTAAATCCATTTAGGGGCTTGATCTTGATAGTTTATTACACTATGTTCTTCAAGCAATCATTTCTCCTGCTCTTGTGTAATATTTTTTCAGGTTGTCTGATGTTTTTGTGGCCTGCCTTTGAGCCTCACCTGCCTCATCAAGGGCTATTATTCCCCTTCAGTCAGAGAATGATCAGAAACCATTCATTTCCCAGCTGAGGGTAAAGGACATTTCAATATGTTCTATATATTCCACCACACTGATGATATACTCCAGTGGTTTCTGGACAGAGTTTTGAGTTACCATGACAATGCCTAGCCTGATAATTCAAGTATCAGCAAGTAAATACATCTGAATGAAAAAGAGAGACTGACAGTCTTAGGCTGCCAGCTGGAACCAACATAACCCACTCACTGTTGCCTCTTGGGAGATTTCTGTGAGTCAGGAGATTGTATTCTTCCCAATATATTGCTGTTGAACATTAATACATGGCTGTTTCCTATTAATATAAACATTTTTCTTATTGCAGGCTTTATTTTTGAAACTATTACATTATGCCTTTGAGTTCAGGAGACAGTCCTGGTTGGATTGTAACACAACTTTTCAAGGTCAGTGGTGGAAGCTCTTTCACTTGAACCATTAAAACACAAAGTGAACAAAGACTTCGAAACATGGAGCACAGGGAACAACCTTGCATTGAGCAGGGGATGGTGTGGTTTTCTTGTAATCTTTCCATCTCTATTTTGTGTCCAATAACATTTGCTGTGTAAGGAATATATTTATGGCAAAGTTTAATGGGCCAAATTTCACTCCACCTGGGTGCCAGCCAGTTTACTGTGAAGTCAGTGTCCATAAAGTGTAATGAAGGACTCTGGTGTAACTGCATTCATATGTGGTCAGGGTTATATTTCCCATTAGTAGTTTAGGCCAGATTGTGATCTCATTTATTCCAGTGAAAATCCAGAATAATTCCATGTTGCTACTCCTGATTTATATTAATTACTTTAAGATTAGTCTGTCCCAGTATAAATAAGACTAAAGATTTTTTGGTACCGTTACTGCAAAATGTTCTTTTCTGTACTTACTGAAAGATGCCATGTTTTCTTAACAGTTTTATGATTAGAAATGTAGCTTCAGATTTCTGCTGGAAAAAGACAGGACTAGCTGTATAATGCTCCCCAGTATTATTTTGGCACATCACTTCAACATTGCCCTGCTCCAAATGCCTGTTTTTCCAGTGCACTACACCTGGTGTGTAATTTAGATCAGAGTGAAACAGTACCAAATCTTACTGGTCATGTGGTTTCACTGATTTTGTGTTGGACAAAGTGTAAAAAATCAACCGCTGAAAAACAGATGCTGAGTCTCAAAACTCTTCAAATAGTGTGTTAGACTTACAGCCGGAGAGTTCTCACCAACAATCCAACTTCTTCACTTTGCTTATGCTATGAGGCTTAAGCAGGCAGCAAGGTTACAGGGAGAAATGAAATAGCTCCCCTGTATGTCATGGAGTTGTTTTCTTTGGGAAAAAAAGAAAAGGTAAGAACTCTTACCCAGTTTCCTTGTGGGCATATCTCAGCCACAGCAGTTCGTATACTGTGATGCCAAGCAATGTAGAAATGCCTTCTGTGCGCAGAGAGAGAGAGATATGAGGAGATACAGCTGGTTCAAAATGCAAAAATGAGGAGAGGTTTTTAATAAGCTTGATTTCTGGTACTTTGCTCACCTCCTCCAGCTCAGGGGCAGTGCATTGTAGTCCTGGTCTGTAAAGATTGAGGATTTCCCTCTTGCAACATGGAAATCACACAGCAGGCAGCGTGTGCAGTGCTGTCCTTGTTCTTTTGTAGGTGGCCATCAGCATAAAGATTACATTAACAAATTGTTTCTTATTGTGACGTAAAGGGGTTTGTGAACTAAGATTTATTTAGACACATAGCAAATCATCCAGTCAAACAATATGACATCTTGTTGCCTGCTGCATCTGTGCTGGTATCAGTGGAAAACCACATAGATACCAACAAAACCAGAACTTGATTCCCTGTGTATAAAACCAGCTCTTTGTGCAGGCACAGTGAAAGTCTTTTATGTGTCTCAGATTTAACTGAGTGTCTCATCTAAACTGGGTTACATAAATCAGGGGGCTTATCCAAAATTTTTGGAGATTTTATTTCTTTAAATGGAAATACTCATATTAAAGCTGACTGAACCAAATATTGAACAGGCAGAAGGAAGCCTAACGAGACAAAGAAAAACAAACTTCCTATAATTGAGTCATGCTGGAAGCTTATTTCCTCTTAAGTCTAGAAGTCTGAAAATTTAAATTGGTGCAGATGAAATCCTGCTGGAAGGAAAGCACTCCACTATAACAGGGGGTTTGGGAAGAAATGAAGGACTGCATTCTGTCCCTGTGAAATACTGTGATTTTACAGCAGGGATCTCTGTCTTTTATTCAAATAGAAATTCTAGGGAAGGGGGAAAATATTTTTTTTTTTTTAAACAAGAGGAGACAATTTTCAGTGAGCCGACTGGTTCTTTTCCTGTCTTTGCTAGCAACTAACTTTTCATTTTGATCAAACAACTGTTTCTCATGACATGTGTTTCTGGATCAGTGAAAAAGGACACAACACAGTGCTGTCAAGCTTAGCTGTGCAGGCTGTGTTTCTGCAATGGATAATGAGTTTACTGATAGGAAATGCCAGATTGCGATATTTGTTCACTCACTGATCATTGATCCCTGAATTTTTCTGATGAAGATGTGTTTTTCCATCAAAATGACATTCAGATATGCTTTTGAGAAATATCTATTTGCTTGTTTTTTGTGTGATAATTTTTCACTAATCAAGGCAGTCTGTATGCTTCTTTGGATCTACAGGGCACTATCACAGCTTAGAGCTCGCTCTGATCCCCTTGCTCAGCTTGGCTGGAGGGAGCTGGCAAAATGAGGAATGGGAACAATGGTCTAGCCCAGAAAATAAAAAAAAGTATAATAATGAAAATAACAAACGTGGAGAACACAGGTTACTAGAGAGACTAGGACCAAAGACGCGTGGGCAGGGCAAATGCAGCCAGGTGTAGGGGCAAAGGTCCAATCATGAACGTGAACTTGGAACATGACCTTATTTGGAAAAAGTCCTGAACCAGCTGAGAACAAGAGCCAGAAACTTGACCAAATATAGGGTAGCTCTATGAGCATACTGGCTCCCAAGAACCCACAGTTCCCACTGAGACCTGAGCAGGCATCCCCTCAGTATACAGTTTGCCAAGGTCTGGGGTCAAAGCCCTCTGCAGATGCATCTGAGGTGAGAACTCAGCTGGATGAGATCCCACCGGGCGCAGTTTGGAAATCACTGGACTAAGGCAGCACAAAAGAAATAGAAGCTGGCTGTCGTTTCTTGGTTAGAGTTCTATGAATGCTGGCAGGAGAAAGATGATACTGCTAGGTAGTCTGATAGGATAACTCCTTTCTTCCTGCCTTTAAAAGGAACATGATTAGGATTAAAATTTGGTAAATTATTCTCGGTGGGATGATAAGAAAATGGTGCTATAAACTGCAGAATGTACATGTCAGCTCTGGAACCAGATGAAAGAAGAGTGGCAGTTTCATCATGTTCCTGTTGTGTTCTGGAAGAGCACTTCTGAAATTGCTTGCCCCTCCCTAAAAACCTTCTAACTTTCTCATTTAAACCACAAACTGTGGACTTTGCGTAACTAATTTGCATTTGTGCTTTTATGATTTTCAGACCTTTCAATGCAGTGTAATTTTCTACACAATTACTGACTGCAGTTCTGTGAGGTCTAAACTCATTGAGATGAACACAGCTGTGACACAGCAGTTTGTGAGGACAGGAAAAATTGCTTTTAACACACTGGCCTTTGTTAAGCCTGGCAGTTTCAATATTAATTAGCCAGTACTATGAAACAGCAAATAATATTTTGTCAAGTAATAAAATTTCTCAAGGTTGCACAATAGCTTTTCATTGAAATCGATCACTTTAGTGAATTAACAGCATCATTGATTTAAAATGG